GACGTGAAAAAGTTCATGCTAACATTTTTTCGGGACGTCTGGCGCCCGCACGTCTGGCCCGAGGCCCGCGTCCAGACGCCCGTGCTGTAGTTTCCCGCGCTCGGACCAACAATCCACGCCCGCGCTCGCACAAAAAAAAACACGCCCCGCCTGCGCCTAGGTTTCACTTGCCCATGCAGGGCCTGCGCCGCCAAACCACGCGTGGGGACCGCTTGCGTCCCCTCCGCTTCTCACGTGCATTGCAACATGTGCAACACCCGATCTACTTTTGAAACATCCAGATGCAACATTTGCAACATAGTCTAAAGACAAATGAAACACTTGAAACATGCTTCCGAAACACTTGCAAAAACACATGAAAAACACTTGAAAAACCATTGCAAACATATGCAATATCTAGACAAAACACTTACAACATATGTGTGAAACGTTGCAACATCAAGATTAAAACACTTGCAACAATACGTCCATAAACACAGATGAAACATTGGGAACAGACCTTTGCAACGTACGTGTACAACCATTGCAACATATGCAACATTCATCTAAAACAATTGAAACATACCCCTGAAACATCCGAAACACTTAAAACATACGCTTGCAACATGCGTTTTCAGCAGATCGCAAATGGAGGCTCACCGGTGCGCGTGGACTTCACTAGAGGCAGCCGCGTCGTCACCACCATTGACCAAATGGACTCCCCTACTACAAGGTCGGCGGGGACGCCTTCGTGGCTGCTGGTATCGTGGGCTCGACATGAAGCCCTGCAGCCGGCACCGCAGTCCCCACCACCATCGGATCTCTCGCCGGCGCAGTGGGTCTGGTGGAAGGAGAAGCAAGGCAGAGTGGGGTGGAGGCGCGCAACGCGCAATGTGGGCGAGACCACCCCGCCAGGGGACTGCACGGGCCAGCCATGTGCAGCGCACGGAGGTGGCCTTGCTTTGGGCCACGTCGAGAGAGAGAGAGAGAGAGAGAGAGGAAGAGGAATCTAGGGTGGAGATGTAGATGGTGTGGAGCCAACGACGTTGACCGGCGGGGTGAAAGCGGCGATGTCACCTGTGGCGGCCACAGGTACGGAGCAGTGTGCGCGTCGATGGTTTCTTTTTCTTTCTTTCTTTTTTTGCAATGTGGGCTAGTGGCGCAGCAGGTTGGTCCATCCAGCCGACGCCTAGGTCTAATCATTATCGAACATTTTTTTCCTTCCTTCTCTGCCACATTGAATAGTCGTTGAATTCAGGCCCAACATTGGGGGTTTTCACTGCACGCAACAAAATCTCTACTACTCTAAAAAAAATCTCTGCTAACATTTTTTTCTTCCTTCTCTGCCACATTGAATAGCCGTTAAATTCAGGCCCAACATTGGGTTTTCACTGAATGCAACAAAATCTCATGTGCCACAACTATCACTGAAAAATCATAGGGGGTGATGTTTAGGGGAAAATTGCTACACTGCAGTGATAGTTCATTAGTAGTTCATACTCATGCTCTTGAGATTTCGTGCCATTCCTTTGGGCCTCACAACTCATGAGGAAGCATAAACTTTGAAATGCTTCAACTTTGTGGTTCTCCTTTGTGTATCTCTCCCTCTTCAAACAAATCGTCATAACCAACAGGAACGCGAATTTTGTCCGCTAGTGGTTTGCGTTGAGCTTTATTGTCTGATGCAGGTGTCTCCTCCACATCATCCAACTGCTCTGGATCATCCAACACTTCCTTTTACTCTTGCGATTCAATTTCATCATTGATTAGTGCACTGCCCTGTGAACTTGCATCTTCGTTTCTGCTAATCTGTGGCCGTTTTGTATACCTAAACTGCTTTCTGCATTGGATAGCTTGTTGCATGATGTTTTGAGATAAACTTGTAGTGGAGATTAGCTTTATACTCCCTCCGTCTCAGGATAGCAGGCGCGCGCATCTAGGCTGGGTAGTGCTAAGAAAACAATCAGGAGAGTTATCATGGGGATTAACTTTTAAAACAAATCAGGAGAGGTGTCGATTATATTAAAAAAAGATTCTTGGATGGGTAGTGCTAAGGAAACAATCGAGACAACTGACTCAACTATGGACAATGGTCGGTTGGACTAGGACCTCATCAACACGCTCCACACAAGCACAAGATTGTCTCGTACTCAGCCCTACCGAAAACCCAACCGCTCTACCACTTCACAGGGTCCAAGCCATACATATATACCATTTCAATAACTGAAAAAGATCACCCATGCATGTCATGAGATGGAATAGATCAATTAGAGGAAGGAAGAAGATGACAATCCAATCATTCAAGAGGCATATTAGTTTGGAGGTGAGATCTCATAGTGGCCCCATTTACATATGCGACAGCTGATCCCCTTTCATGTTAAGACAAGAGCAGGGACAACCGTCCAGGGAAATTTCGGTTTGCTCATTGGACATTCACGGTGACTAACTTGTCCTTTCAAGAATTTTAGAATTATCCTTTGTTTGTATGGCGGTTTCAACTCACCAAGTAGAAGAAAACAATACAAAACGGCAAGCTAGCGTCGCACGTAGCTTAGCTGACAATTTGTCTCTCTCTCCCCCCTTCTTGAGAGCATGACGTACTAGAATGGTATGTAACTTAAATGACAACTACTGTACTTTATGTTTCATTAAAAATAAATAAATTTAGAGTCTTTTAAATGCTTACTTGAATTAAAAAATAAATAAAAGTGTTGATATTAAATGCGGTCACATATCAGAAAGTGCTAAATCTCCAAGGCTACACACGCCCGATATACACAGCCGAGGGAGGTCTCCACGCGTGGCCGAGACTAGCAAGTCAATGAGGCCGATTTGACGCTCATTCTTCACACGAAACACCCACGAACACCTCCTGAGAAGACTTGTCGGGGAGACGCACAGCGAGGTTATCATCGCTACACCAAAAGCGAGTAGCATTGTAACAATTTCAATGATGTTTTAGGGGGAAAAGGAAACTATGAATCAGCAAAAGTATTTTTCAAATAAAAACCAAATGGTACAATGAGAAAATAAACTAGATACTCACGTTATTTGCATAGATCACCTTGTTGTTAAGCCTTAAGCATTCACTCGTGAATGCGAAGGCTGGAATGTTTTATTCCGTAATCTAAAATAAAAGCTATAAGAACATTTAGTTGTGTTTCTTTGCCAACGTGTTGCCGCACGAAGTTACAGGCCTGAGTTTTTTTCTACCTTCCATAGAATATTGGAGTGAGAACAACCAAAAAAAAAAAAAGAACCACAGGAACGTGTCGTGTTTCTGCTTGAAACCATCCAGCAGGGTCAGTGCCGGTGGGCTAGCTAGCTAGCTGCGCCGTCGTGCCGTCCGTCGCGCGGGCGCACTCGGCGTCGGCCAGCAGGTAGCTCTGGAACCGCAGCCGCGTTGGCGCTGCGCCCCGCCAATTGCAGACAGGCCCGTTTGTCCGCGGCTCTCCGCCGGCCTCGGGATCCTTACCTAATCAGTGATCGCCACTCGCCGGAAGCGGCAGCCCTTGGCCTATTGGGTCGGTGGTGTCTGTGTTTTGCGACCCATCTCGAGCCAACCAGATCCTTACACGTGTTCGGACCGTCCCTTGTTTTCCTTTTTTTTTTTTTGAAAGTCCATCCCGTTTTCCTTGCTTGCAGTTGCAGTGGTGCCGCCTTTTGTTCTCGTCTCCTACTCTCCGTCGGTTGCAGCACTAGCTAGTTTATTTCACTGCTATTGGCTGGTTACCTTTTCTTTTCAAAATACTCCTTCCACTATAAATTATAAAACATTTTGACATTTATAAATACATTTATAAATACGTAGTTTTTGTTATGTACTTGAACATACACTATATCTGGGTACACGGTAAAAATAACATACATAAAAAAGCCAAAACATATTATAACTTAGAACCGAGAGTACATAACAGAGGTCGTCCACCTTTTCTAATTAGCTTAAAATTTTAGGTTGAACTAAAATAGATAGATGCAACTCAACCTAGGAAAAAAATAGGGTACGGTCTCCTATTATTTTATTTGCTATATTGCGGTAAAGCAGCCAAATGTCGTTAGAACTAGAACCGGTGGTGAAGATGGATCTGTGGCGAGCGCGAGCCGAGAGTGGTACGTCCGTGAAAGATTCCGTGGTGCGAGACACGACAACACCCTCGAAACTGGTCCTTAATTAAGTTGATGATGATGGATGGCAATAATCGTGTTGGCTTTCCATGTGTGCGTATTAATTGGGGTGCCAGTGCCGCCACTAGTGTGGCCTCCCCTCACCCAAGTCCAAGGAGAGGCTAGAGGAGCAGTACGTACGAGCTGGTGTCTAGTTATTTGGTTGGTAAGTCATGACTAAAAATATTATTGATTAATTTATTATAAAAAATACTATTTATTAGTTGGGAAAGTACGACTTCCAAACCAAACGAACGGGACATAGATTTGTCACTTGTGTCGCGGCAGCAGCAGCTGGGTGGCCTTTTTCCAAACGAACGGGACGTAGATTTGTCACTTGTGTCGCGGCAGCAGCAGCTGGGTGGCCTTTTTGGTGCTCCACATCGCTCCAAACCCCTCCGTCTCTCTCACCGCATTTCCCTCCATCCACTGAATTTCCAAAAAGGCCATCGCCTCATCAATACTGAATTTTAATTTCATTTTTCAATTGCGCATCATCCCATCCCTCTCTCTCTCTCTCCTCTAGGTAGTCATCCAGCTCTTTGTGGTGTGTGTTGTGTTCTCTCTCCTGATGGGTCGGACCGGACGGATACACTACGCTCCAAAACTTCTCCCCTATAAATACCACGCCATGTACTTCTCTGCTTCTTACACTTCTCCTTCTCTCATGCCATAGCACTAGTGCAAGGTCCTAGATTTACACTTGGTGCTACAGCTCCTTTGCTTCTTCCTTCCTTTCCTTCCGTCCTCTCTAGGCAGCTAGCAGCAGCACACGCACGCTGCTGCAATCTATTGGCCGGCCGCCTTGCCTTGCCGGGGATCCATAATTACTGCTAATCTAGCTATCGGGCAGCATCATGCCGACGCTGTCGCACCTCAAGAACCCGCGCTACTTCGACTTCCGGGCTGCGCGGCGGGTGCCGGAGTCGCACGCCTGGCCGGGGCTGCACGACCACCCCGTCGTGGACGGCGGCGCGCAGGGGCCGGACGCCGTGCCGGTGGTGGACCTGGGGGCGGCGGAGGCGGACCCGGCGGCGGCGGTGGCGCGCGCTGCCGAGCAATGGGGCGCGTTCCTGCTCACGGGGCACGGCGTCCCCGCAGAGCTGCTGGCGCGCGTGGAGGACCGGATCGCCACCATGTTCGCGCTGCCGGCCGACGACAAGATGCGCGCCGTGCGCGGGCCTGGCGACGCATGCGGCTACGGCTCCCCGCCCATCTCCTCCTTCTTCTCCAAGTGCATGTGGTCCGAGGGCTACACCTTCTCGCCGGCCAACCTCCGCGCTGACCTCCGCAAGCTCTGGCCCAAGGCCGGCGACGACTACACCAGCTTCTGGTACGTGCGTGCGTGCACCCGCGCCAGCCGCGCGCGGCCACACCACCGTACCCACACGTGCGCGCGCCTAGCTACTAGCTGCTTTGCTTTGCTTTGATTCTCGCCTCGCCATGCATATGCATGAAGCATGATGCACGTACAGGTACTGGTACAGCAGGTCACACGCACGCAGGCACCGATAGTCCGATACGATACATCATCGACGTGTCGTCCCCGTCTAAGGCCATGCATGCATGCAAGCACACGCCTAGCAGCCCTTTTAGCATGCTAGCTGACGAGGGGCTTATACTTACTGCGCGTCTTGCTTAATTACACTACTACTTGTTACAGTGATGTGATGGAGGAGTTCCACAAGCACATGCGTGCCCTCGCGGACAAGCTGCTGGAGCTGTTCCTCATGGCGCTGGGGCTCACCGACGAGCAGGTCGGCGCCGTGGAGGCGGAGCGGAGGATCGCCGAGACGATGACCGCCACCATGCATCTCAACTGGTACCCGAGGTGCCCGGACCCGCGCCGCGCGCTGGGGCTGATCGCGCACACCGACTCAGGCTTCTTCACCTTCGTGCTGCAGAGCCTCGTGCCGGGGCTGCAGCTCTTCCGCCACCCCCCGGACCGGTGGGTGGGCGTGCCGGCCGTGCCGGGCGCCTTCGTCGTCAACGTGGGCGACCTCTTCCACATCCTCACCAACGGCCGGTTCCACAGCGTGTACCACCGCGCCGTCGTCAACCGGGACCTCGACAGGATATCGCTCGGCTACTTCCTCGGCCCGCCGCTGCACGACAAGGTGGCGCCGCTGCGGGAGGCCGTGCCGCCCGGCCGGACCCCCGCGTACCGCGCCGTCACGTGGCCCGAGTACATGGGCGTCCGTAAGAAGGCCTTCACCACCGGCGCATCCGCGCTCAAGATGGTCGCCCTCGCCGCCGCCACCGAGCTCGAGCTCGACGACGCCGGCGCCGGTGCTGGCGCCGACCCCGCCGTCGTCCATCAGCAGCTACTCGTCTCGTCGTAGCCGATCGATCGCCGGATCAATCGAGACTGATGATGATGCATATACTCGTCGATCGATCGAGTAGACAGACTAATGAAGCAACCCTGAGACCTGGACATGTATGCATGCATGCGCTTCGTTCGTTCCACTCGTGCTTGCTTGCGCATGCAGAAGGCTTCATTATTCCGTTCCGCAGCTGCTCTGCTGGATCGATGTATATGGTACAAGAATTAAGAGATCGATGACGACGGAGGAAGAAGACGAAGACGCCGACGAGGAAAAGGACACGCTGTGCGTATAGCTGTTTCTTCTAGTACGTCTAGTTACAGCAGGCCGGGCGGCCGGCTGCTGCTTGCAATCGAGTTTGTCGTTACTGACGATTGTTAGTGGATCCATTAACTAATCTGGAATTCTGGATTAATATAATGCATGTGGTTTGGCATCTGGCGTCAAGCAGGTAGGGGTACCTAGCCAGTAGCCAGTAGCCAGTAGCCAGTAGCCAGTAGCCAGTAGCCAGGCTGGTCAATGATAGGTCTATAACCTGATCCTGTACTGTTGTTTCTTTCGGTCTGATCTGAGGGGGAAAAAAAACGGAAAAAAAATCCGCCCCCGGCTGCTCAATTCATCAATTGAGCCATAGTTTGACCCCAACTTCCAAAAAGTTGCTACAGTATCTATCACATCGAATGTTTGCGGCCCGTATATGAAGCATTAAATGTAGACGAAAAAAAACTAATTGCACAGTTTGGTGGGAAATTGCGAGACGAACGTTTTGAGCCTAATTAATCCATGTTTAAACACTATTTGCCAAATAAAAACGAACGTGCTGCAGTAGCCCAAAATCCAAATTTCTCCAACTAAACCAGGGCTGAAACGATGGGTGATGCAATGCAAGAGGGCTGCAGTGAGCAGCAGTGGAGATGTAAATATAAATAAATATATATGTATACAGTACTGTACATATACGGAGTATATCTCTTCTGGTTCTAGGTCATGGATGTGCAGTGCAGCTACGACTGTAGTCTGTAGAGGACACACCTGGCTCGTACCGTCGTACACGGCCCTCAGAGCGCTAGCCAAAGAGGAAGAGACACGGGCATGCGTGCTTTGTTGCCTTGCCTGCTTGCTTCCAACCAACAAAGTTGCATCATGCTCATGCATGGAATGGAACAAACCATCATGCTTCCAATAAGTTACTGCGAGAATCTTTGCCTGCTCCAGTAAATTTTTATCCTACGTAGTAACATACTATTTGTAACAGTGGTATTTGTCTAAATTGAAAAGAAGAGGTTTCTGAAAATTGAGTCAGTGATTTCAAACGGGACCTTCGATCTTCCGAATGAAAATTTTGGTTTTGTTCGTTTCGCTGAAATTTGGCTTTTATGCTGATTTGTTGTGAGAGAAAAATAATGCTGAAGTAGTGTTAAACTAGTAATAACGTGTAATGTATGTAGGGTTGAGCAGTCACAACTCACCAGGGGAACCCACCAGCCATACCTGCTGGGGTTTCATTTGCATTTGCAAGCGGCCAAGTGAGCCCCTTCTGTGTGGTGCCGCCGTGCCGGCCCTGCTTACCTGAAGCAACGAAGAACTGGGGTTCCTGAGGAGATCTGCAGTGAGATGGGGAGGGGGATCCGCTTTTACCTTTTGATGAATCCTGCCTGGCCACATCCCATTCTGGCTCTGCAAGGAGGAAATAGGTGTTGGTTTGATCTCCCAACCACAGTGGCCCAACGGCCACTTGGGCCTTGACCTCGCGCCCTGATCGGGGGCGCCCAGTCCATCTATGGCTGGCGGGCCCCGTCGTCTACATCACAAGATAAATAGAGGTGGGGTCGGGTCGGCTCTCGATCGAGGTTCGCTTGAGCCGTACGCCCCACCTAGAAACCCTACTCCGATCTAACAGAGGGGCGCAACCAGTGACGGGAAGCACCGCCGCCGCCATTGCACTGCGCCACCACGGTCTTCACTGCGTCGCTCTCTCTTCTCCGACCGTCGCTGCCTAGCGCAGAACTTCACCGATGAACCTGATGGCCGGATCCCCTACTCAATGGATGGTCAGTGCCTAACCCTAGCTCTTCCTCTCCCTCTCTGTCCCTCTCCGTTCACACCATTACTACGAGAAACCCAATGAAACCCCACTGGATCCACTCCTAGATGATCCAAAGAGTCCTAACAATGATATCAGAGCCGTCGATCTAGTGTGTGGATTGTGTTAGGGGTAGCAGTGTAGAAGGAGATGAGTTAGGTCCGGTTCGGATCGAAAAAAGGGAAATACAGAGGGTTCATTGAACCCTAAACCCTATTCGGGTGATAGAAAGAAAAAGAAGGAAGGGGTTTCGAATTCGATTCGGATTACCCTCCTAAAGAACCCTAACCCTAAAGAAATTGGACGGTCCGGGGAAGGTTTCCCCACCGCCGTCACTACCGCCTCACTCGGGATGGAGTACCCACCGCCGGCTTGCTGACGCGCGGGAAGAGAATCAAGAGAATAGCAAAGAAAAGAACAGATTAGATCCTTCGGATCTGAGCAGACAGAAGGGGTTCCTTAACCCTAACTGGGTGAAGATAGAAGGGGCTCGGCCTCAAGATCGCTTGATCCGAACCCTAAACCCATGACTCGAACTAGGGGAAGAAGAATAGGAATCGAAACCCTAACCCTAGATCCAATCCCCATCCCCAAATCGGTCAAAACCGAGAGAAGCAAGATCCAAACAAGCAGAAACGCAGAAGGGGAAAAAGAAAAGCAAGGCCGGTGGCTTACCTCACCACCATCATCTCCGCCCGTCGTCTGCGGAAAGACCGGACCGCGCCCGTGTTCGTCGCCGAGGTGCATCCGCGCGGGTACGGGTACAGGGCGCCGACACGGAGCCGCTTGACGGCGGCGCGCTCTCTCGATGGGGAGCGCGCTCGCCGGCAAGAGGGCCCGCGGTGGCGCCGTCTTCGTCGTCTCCTCTGGCGCGGCTTGCTGTCGCTTGAGATGCGTCGTGCTGCTGAGAGAGAGAGAGAGACACGCGAGAGAGAAAGGGAGAAAGAAATGAGGCTAGGGTTCTGGGGTTGCCGGTCGCGACGCTAGGTTTTTGTTCGGGCGAAGAGGCCGGGCGACCGTCGGATGAGCGCGGACGGTGGAGATGAAGCGGGCCACTCATTGGCCCAGTGAAGAAAGCGGCAGGCCAGGCGCTTTGTTTACTAGCCTAGGCCCACGCTATGCGGCTGGTGGCTTCAGCAGCACAAGGTCGAGTCGAGTTAACTGGGCCATTTTGATGGTTGGGCCACATCGCAGTTAAAGTTTAAGCCATTTTATTTTTCTAATTTTTCCAGTGATAAATGGCTCAAAGAAAATTGGAAAAGAGAATTTACCTATGAGTAAAATTCAATAATTATGTTCATAGTTCCGCTGCAAAGTTAAAGGTTTATTGTCTTCTAATTGAAGAGCAGTTATAGTTATTTAGTAAATGATGAAAAGTTTATCCTCCAGTTAAAATTGGAACCAACTGAATTTTTTTAATTGGAGGAATATTCGGTTGATAGTTAAGATAAATTATAATATTGTTATTTTCAGACCAACGTTGATGATAACAATATTATAAGTTTATTTATGAGTTTAAGTTTAAACTTAAATTATGGTATTGTTATTTTCTGACCAACGTTGATGATAACAATATTATAATTTTATGAGTTTTATGATTAAGTTTAAATCTCTGATGAATTTTGCATCAAAGTGACCAATTTTCAGAGAATAGATAAAGATCAAGGAATGCTCTTAAACTAGAGAAATGTATTTTCATGTTTCCGTTGCAATGAAGTTGATTGTCTTCTAATTAAATTCGAACCAACGAGAGAATTTAATTTTGAGGAGCAGTTCTATGTTTTCAAGATTATTGAATTTCTATACGTTAATTCCATTTCTGCCCAATGGTGATGTGGAATTAATGTAGAAGAATGATGTTTTATTCTATTTCTGCCCAACGGTGATATAGAATAGAACATAAAGATTTCAAAGTTTAATGAGCATTATTGTTGAATATGTTTTCAGACAAAAGACTTCCATGCTTTCATTCTTGAAGGCAGTAAGAGAAATGAGCTGGGTACTTGTGACTCAGATGATGAAATGCCTAAGGGCAAGTTATGTATGAAAGAATGCCATTGCTTAAGGGACTGTGTTCTCTTTAAAGAATGGCTTCAAAAGAAAAACATTCTAGGATATTGATCCAAGAAAAGAGATAGATCAATGAGAGTCTTCATTGAGAAATGTCTTTTATGTACTCTCTGTGAAGAAGAATTTATTTTCAGTTTCACTTATGAGAGTAGTAAAAGTCACATGCATGTTTAATTTGACCAATGTTAGATTAAGCATGTGTATTAAAGAGTATTCGGATTTATTTTTGAATTTGATGATTGAACACGAGTCAATCCTGGCAATTATGTTTGTTCACGGGAATTATCTCGCATGGCGAGAAAAGTTTGTGATAGTACCCGCATGGCGGGAAAAGTTTGAGAAAATACCCGCATGGTGGGGTAAAGTTGGCATAGTACATATATTAACCAATCCTGCATGGCGGGAGAGTTTTGGCATAGTACTTATCCCGCATGGCGGGAGAAGGATGTGATGACTCATGTGCTCTAAGTGTATCCTACACATGGAGAGAAGTTTGAGGTAGCTTTTATGCTATCCTAGTATTGACCGTACACTCTGATTGTGTCATGGTCATTAAGTACTCAATAAGTTTAAGAACAAAAGAAAGTTGCATGTGAACCAAAAGATAAGAATGATATGCAAGCATGACTTACAGAAGTATTGATAATAATAGACTATGTTGAGTTTTGAAGTGTAATGAGGAAAATGTACTCCCATACGAATTTTGTTTGCATGATGTAATCATGTGGATGAAGTAAGTAATCAAAGTTTCCTCATTCACAAGAGTTCTGAATGTTTCGAAATTGTGGTAGAAAAGTTCATACCACATTTCAAGGAGGAGAAAATGTAAGATCAATTAAGAAAGACAATTAAGAAAGATACT